TTAGTTAACAAAATACATTATCATTCGTTAATTATTAAAATTTTCGTAAATATAAGTCCATTATGATTTTATACTCATTGAGATCTTTCATTTGAGTACCCACATGAATTTTTTCATATATCTTATATATATGATATTTATAAAATATATGAAAAGTGCATGTGGGTACTCAAAGTCAATCAATTAAAAATTATTTAATTTTCATGAAAATCACTAATTTGAACTAATAATTACATTTTTATGCATCAAAAGTAAGGTCAAATACGTTTTACTTTGATACCTGTTCAACTACCGAGTACTTTACTTTAAAACTCAAAAAATTTTTTATTTTTCTTTAAAAATAAACTAGGCCTAAAAAATTATTTTTAAAAAATTTCATTTATCATTTTCTAATGCTTCTAAGGATGGAGTTTTGTAAATAAATTTTTCTTGTCACAATGTATTTATAAAAAAAAATTCTAAAAATTATCAGTGATAATTTTTTCCTTAATTTTCACATATGGAATTTTTTTATAACAATTTTATTGCTATAAAATTCCAAAAAAATTTCTAATGTCAGTCAACTTCAATATCTTTTTAATATTGTATAAATAATAAGCTATTTATTTTAAATAATCCCCAGAGAAGATATGTACGCTCAAGACAGTATAGACATGTTACAAAACAGTGGGATTCAATTTAAAAAACATGAAGAAGAGGGTATTGATCCATTGGAATTTGCAGAATTGTTGATGACTTCAGGGATTGTCTTGATGGATGACATCAAATGGCTCTCATTTCATTCTGGTTACGATTTTGGCTATTTATTAAAACTACTTACTGACCAAAATTTACCACAAGAGGAGAGTGAATTTTTTGAGCTACTCAGGATATATTTTCCAACAATTTATGATGTTAAAGTAAATATTATTTATATTTTTTCGCTGTCTTAATTTTTTACTATCTGTTTCTATTTGTAATTATTTTGTTACTGATTTTAGTATCTCATGAAATCGTGTAAAAACTTGAAAGGAGGATTGCAAGAAGTTGCCGAGCAATTAGAATTACAACGAGTTGGTCCTCAACATCAAGCAGGTTCTGATTCACTTTTAACTGGAATGGTATTCTTCAAAATGCGTGAGGTAACTTATTTATCTATTTTTTTTGCGAGTAAAAAAAACGCTGAAATTATTTTATATTAAAAAAATTAAAAATATTCTTGGATAAAATTCAATTTGAAATTTCAGAAAGAATTTAAATTTTTTGAAATTTTTCAGTGGATTGATATCAAATAGAAAAATCCAAAGAATAAATTTTTATAAAAAATTTATTTAAAAATTACCTTAAAAAATAAATATGAGCATAATTTTTTTTTCGCTATTAAAATATTCCGTGGTTGAATTATTTGGAGTTACATCCTACGATTATTAAGATAAAGGAACCAAATATTGACCAGACAGCATAACAATTTTATTTAAAAAAATCTAGTAATTTAATTTTATACTCAGTACGTAATTATCAATTTTTAATTATTCTTAAAAAAGAAATTTTTGTTTTTTTTTTTTTTAGGATCAATAATTTCACCGTAATTTCAAAAGTAAGATTCATAATTATCATAAAATTTGAATCTATTATTTATAAATCTTAATTTTGGAATTACAACAAAAACATTTTTTTAAAAAATCATGAGAAAGATTTTTTATATAAAATTAAATTTTAAACAACTTTTATTGAATAAATTTTTGTATAAGACCAATATTTTTGCTGTAATATTAAAAATTTGAACCATTTATTTTAAAATTCCAACAAACATTTTGGCCCTAGAAATTATCAATCTTTAATTATAGTTTAAATAAAAATTTGCGCAATCAAATATTTGCAGTTGTTATAAAAAAAAAAGTTTGTGTATAAATGTCAAAAAGTTTTAAAAATGAGTCATTAGAACCTCGCCGAGTTTGGTAGGCACATTAGTGATCAATTTATAAAAAATTAAATTCTTCATATTCAATCAAAAAGTATTTGTCAAAACAATTATCGAAGATTTATTATCAATAATTTTTGTTAGAAAAATTATGTTAATAATTGAAATAATACTCTGGTCAACAATTGGTGTTGTAAATTATCGAATGTACCTAATATTAGTATGGCTTCGGCCATTGATTTAAATATGAGTACTGAAGATGATATTGTATCAGAATACAAAACAACAACAATACTTCAATTATTTACATGTCAGTGAATAGATAACCTAATGTCGCAACTATTATAGCTTAAAAATAAAAGTTATTTATAAGTCTAGTAAGCATAATACTACTGGTCAGTATTTGGAGCATAGGCGGTCAATATTAAGTGCGTAATGGTCAATATTCGGAGTGATCGGCTGTAACGTTAATTATTACAATTTAATGTTTATTATTATGTATTTTATAAACAAAAGTATTAGAGTTTGTAAGTTAAAACTATAAAAAAGGAAAACACTCTCAGCTCATAAACTCTTCCAATAAATTTACAAATAATGTATTTATGATAATTTTATCTTAACTGGTCAATATTTGGAGCCTTTACCCTAATGTTATTAAAATAAAATTATTTTATTTTTGTGTAAGTGTGTTTTTTTGAATGATTTTTTTTATGAGGCACTTTACCAGTCATTGAATTTTTGTTTTTATAAATTTTAAGTTTTAAAGCTCTATTTTAAAAAATTGAATAAATAAGGAAATAAAAATAAATAAAAAAAACTCACTAGCCACTGTACTAAGCTTATATATTTACAGTTTTTACATGACTTTAAAATTAATACGCGTACAATGTATTTATGCTTATTTTATCTCAAATGTTTAATATTTGGAGCCTTTACCCTATCTATTTTTTTTCTTAATGAATTTGTCTTCGAATAACTAAAAAACGAGTATTTTTATCTTATTTACTTAATACCTTAACACCATAAATTTTTTCAGATGTTCTTTGAAGATAATATCGACGATGCTAAATACTGCGGACATTTATACGGCCTGGGCACGTCATTTGTAGTAAATGGAACTGGTGGTTATCTTGAGAGTAACGGCGACAATTCTTCATCATCATAAGTTATAATCTACCCAAAAAAATTCAATTAAACTGCTGTTACCTGAGTGTTAATTATTTTGCACATAGCTTCCCAAAAAAAAAATTTATAAGCAAAATAATAACTTGGAATAATCCAGTAATAGTGAAAAAAAATACTATTCAAATTAGTCTCATCAAAATATTTTTTCCTCACAATTCATCTTTACCATAATTAAACTTAAATAATCAATCGTGTTTTCTATTTAGAAAGATAATAAATATTAATAGCCAAATGTTTATTTAATAATTTTTATTAATTATTTTTTTTTTTTATTAATTTATATTTCTTCTTGTACAATAATAATAACTATATTAACATAATATATATTAGATATATATATTAGACTGGGTCAAAAAAATCAACTATTTTTTTTTAACTATATCGAAAATATTATTTGGGATGACAAAAAAAAATATTGTGAGAATTTGAGCCCTTAATTTATTAGTATGATTTCACACTTTGATTTTTCAACTTTGAAATTTTGTAATTCACTTAAAAATCAGTATCCAGAAAAAATCCAATAAAGATTCTTGAAGGGAATTCAATAGATGTTACTGAATATAATCTGGAATTTTATTCAGAATAATCTTGTATTTTCCGTGTAGATTTAATTTTTTTGGGCCCGTTGAAAAATTTGATCTTTTTACAGATAATAATTTTTATTTTATCATCTAAATTACGAAAAATTGGAAAAAATTATAACATATATTAGATTTGTTAACGTTGAAAAGCTTTTTTCTTCATAAAATTGCATTGTTACTGTTCTTTAATCATTTAAAAAATATGAGTTTGAATTCAGCCGACATCCAACAATTGAAAACTTTAACAATCGATATCTTCATTAAAATTTTGATTAGCACAATTTTTCAAAGTGATAATGACGTGTATTTGCATTGTCTGTAAGAGCATTTTTTTTATTAATTTAACAAATTTGTTATTTAGGCAGAATTTTTAAAATTAAATTTGTTTAAATGAAGTTTAAAAAAAAATAGTTGATTTTTTTGGCCCAGTCTAATATATATTATTTGCACGGAAAAAAGTATTGAAATGATAATTTTTCCAGTTGATCATTACTTATTATAAATCAACTATCATTTATTACAGTTTAATTTTTTCCGTGTGTATATATCAAAAGGCGAGTCTTAAAAAGTAGGTCGAAAGGGCTCTACTATACATCTTAAACTCACAATGGAATAAAACAAAAAAAAAAGTGTAAAGATATGAAGATAAGCGTACGTTATCACAGGATAGTGTGATATCATTAGTTATCATCCGTGAGTGTACCTGTTGGTTCAGTTTAGTATAACCGATTCTTCGCCTCGGACCATTTTAAAAATAAAATTATAAATTATAAATAATTGATGATGCAGAAAAAAATAATATTGTTAGTAATAGTATTAAATATAAGTTTCAATTTAAAATATATAAACACTGCCAATGAAAGCGATTTAAGATCATTGGAAGTTAATTCTGATTGGCTTGCTAACGTCGATTTATTTCCTTATGAAAAATTAAATGAGAATAAAAATGCTGAAGCAAGATCTGAGTTGTTAGATCTTGAACCGGAAATTGAAGAAGATCATAAGGATGATGATGGAAAAACAGAAATAAATTCCGCCCGTGGAGATAAAAAAAATAATTTTGATATCTTGGTGATGAAAGACTTAAATGGGACGGATAAAGTTGAAAAATATGTCAATTATGGTGAGTAATTTTTGCTATCACTGGGCGTGACCATTTTATCAATTTATTTGTTAAATAAAAAAATTTATTTTTTATTTTATGGATATAATTTTGATGATGAAAAGGTAAGAGGGCGCATTGCTAAAGATTAGTAGGGATTTATGCTAAAAGAGCGTACAAAAAAATTTGTTTTAAAATCGTTCAAAACACAAAGATCTAAAAAAAAATTCGAGCATTCTAAAGCTAAAAGAGCAAATTTCAAGACTTGCGCCCTTTTATTTTTTAGAAAAATAGTGTTTAAAGCTAAAAGGGCGCAAAAATTTTAAGTTTTAATTTTTAATACAAAATAGTTTTACAAGACAAGTTAGATCCAAAAAATTGTTTAGTATACAAAGTTCAATTATTATAAAAAGAAGCAAAACGAAAACAATAGTATGAAAATTAAGTTAGCTGACATCTAAAAATGTTTAGATTTTTTTTTATTACAGAAAAATAAAAAAAAATTTGATTTGTAAAAAAGTCGAAAAACTGTGTGCAATTTTTAAAAATATTTTTTTGTTCTAATTTTTTCAATAAAAAAAAAATTAAAAACGTCGGCTAATTTTAGTATCATACAATTGTTTAGTTTTGCAGTTACTCAATTTCTGAATATTAAAATTTGAAATAAAGAATGTTAATACAATTATGCATATTTTATAATTTTTCTAAAAATATTTCTAATTTTTATTTTAAAAGAGCGCATAGTTAGAATATACGCCTCTTAGATTGCATCATTTTTTTTTTAATTTTTAAGCTTTTAGACAAGTATTTTAGTAAATTGCTTAAAAAAAAAATTTAAAGGCGCTTTTAGCTTCTAGGTCATAAAATTTTCAAATTTCTAAAACTAAAAGAGCACATAAAGAAATTTAAGTTTTAATACAAAATTTTGAAAAATAGTTTGACTAGACAAGGTAGATCCAAAAAAGAGTCTAGTATACCTACAAAGCTTAATTATTATAAAAAGGAGCAATATAAAAATGGTAATCGGAAAAAATAGACCTGGAAAAAATTTTAAAGTTTATGACAATAACTCATGTTATTTCATTAAAATTGTTACAAAATATCACACTCACAATTTTCCTGAAAAACAAGCACCCCAAGAATGATCGCTCCATTTTTTGTTACAAAAACATACAATAATAATATTAATAATAATAATAATAATAATAATTTATTCATTTAGCTCACAGCTATTTTACAATATTTTTACATGTTTTTTCTTACAATTAATTAGCAAAATTTATAACAAATAACAATTTAACTTATCAAAAGGTCCTATGTTCGCAGATATATATTTTTTCAAATCAATTTTAAAAATATTATCTCTATTTTCATTTCTAATTGAATCAGGTAGTTTATTATACCAAATAACAACAATAATAATAATATAAACTTCGAAAAAAGTTTCTACAAGCGAGAACAAAACGCGTCACAACGCCACCCGGTGGTGCATTTATAAACTAATTAAAAAAATTCTAAAGCTTTGTAATTAAGTATTGAGTGAATTGCAAGCAATTTTAATGGATTTTTAATAATTTTGATAAGAATAATAATAATGTAAACTTTGAAAAACGTTTCTACGAGCGAGAAAAACAGCGCCACGGCGTGACCTGGTGGTGCATTTACAAACTAATTAAAAAAAATTTTAAAGCTTTGTAATTAAATATTGAATGAATTGTAAGCATTATTATTATTATTATTATTATTATTATTATTATTATTATTATTATTATTTTTTTATTTTATAATAATTTTAATGAGATAATATGAATTTTTCATAACTTTAAAACTTTGTCCGGGTCTATATTTCTTATTTCAATTTTAAAAGAGCGCGTAATTAAAGACATACGCCCTTTTAGCTTTGAAAAATCAATGTTTCATTTTTAAGCGTTGAGTATGTCTACCAGTCAGGCGATAAAAAAAAATTATGCGCCCTTATACCTTTTGGTACTTGAAATCATGAATGAAATAAATCCGAGTGCATAACGTACAGGTGTGCTTATAAATAGTACACCAAAGTTATTGTAAAATACCATTTTAACGCTGATTACATTTCATCTTATCTATGTGTTATCAGTTACTCACTTGTATGAATCGAGGAATGATTCATGGTGATGATTTATTCTTAATTAAATAGTATTTAATTGCCATATTAACATACATATAGTAACTATTTTAATTATTTATAAAATTATGCAGATTCAGACGATCCGGAAGCAAACAGATATGCGCCGTCTCCAGAATTTTCAGTTAATAATTATGTTATGACCGAAGCTAGGTGGACAAAAATAAGATCTGAGTTTATGTATTGGTACTTTGACAAAGGCGGAGATAATAATAATGGTGATCTTCAGACTGATATATATTCTTCAACGCAAATTCATAAAAATTTCAATTTTCAATTACCATTTTATGGGTTTCGCTATAATTATACATTTGTTAGTATTTTATAATTATTTTTTTAATTAAAATATTATATGTAAGAGAAACTATATGCTATATTAATTGATCTAGCTTTCAATGAATGGGTATTTGGGGTTCAGTGATGCACCAGAGCACTACACTTATCCCTTGAATTTTCCAATAAAAGACTGGCCGAAGACAAATGATCCGGCGTTTATCGGTATTTTTTTCAGTAAATGTCGGATTGGAACGCTACGACCTACTGATTATGATCGGCGTAGACCCGGTGTTTACTTTAGGTAACTATTTAGTTTTTAATGCTGTACACAGAAAAATGAGGTCATTGTTTAGTTTCACTCTTCCGGTTTCTATTCAAGTTTTTTTTTAATTTTTTTTTGCGGCGAATTTATGAAAAATAATTTTTTCAACTCAAAAATTTTATAAAAACACTGAAAAAAAAAAATTTATTAAAAAAAAAATGAGCAATTTTATAATAAGAAATTGATTTGTTGAAAATTTTATTTCTTAGCTGAAGAAATATAAATCTTTTACTCAGTAACTTTTTTGTTGAAAAAAAAATTATTTGGAAAAAAAGAATTTTAGAAAGACAACTTGTAAAATTTCTTTTAAAATTGTTTTTTTCAAAATCTATAAATTTTTTTCAATGAGAAAATTGTTGTGAAAAATATTTTTATTTCTTTACACAGAAAGAACAAGATTACACTGGATATCATCCTAGATTATACTGAGTGAAAAAAAAATTCAGATAGTAGTTAGTATAATCCAGATTACAATGAGTATAATCCAGATTATAATGAGTATAATCCAGATATCACTCAGTATAATCTGGATTTTTTTTAGATACTATCTGAAATTTGTTTTCACCACAGATATCACTGAGTATAATCTGGGATGATATCCAGTGTCATCTTGTTCTTTCCGTGTAGCTAAGAAATTAAAATTGTTGAAAATTTTAACGTTTTTATCAAAATTAATTGTAAGCTGAGAAAAAATTTATTTCGAAAAAAATGAACAATTTTGTAATAAGAAATTAATTTAATGAAAATTTTAAACAATTTCAGTTCGTAGCTGAAGAAATATGTTTTTCACTCAGTAACTTTTTTGTTAAAAAAAAATTTTATTGGAAAAAAAGAATTTTAGAAAGACAACTTGTAAAATTTCTTTTAAAATTGTTTTTTCCAAAATCTAGAAATTTTTTTCAATGAAAAAGTTACTGTGAGAAACTTTTTTATTTCTTTAACTAAAAAATTAAAATTTTAAAAAATTGTAATGTTTTTATGAAAATTAATTGTAAGCTGAGAACAAATTTATTTTAAAAAAATTAGGCATTGTTGTGACAAGAAATTAATTCGCTGAAAATTTTAAACAATTTTAGTTCTTAGCTGAAGAAATAAACATTTCTTCTCACAGTAATTTTTTTTTTTTTAAATAGTTTTTTTAATTTGGATTAAAATTAGCAAATTGTCGATCTAAAATTATTTTTTTCCAATCTTGAAATAATAAATTTAATTGTTTAAAATTTTAAACAATTTTGTTTTTTTATTTATTTATTTATTGCCTTTATTTAAACTCAACAGAGTAAGAAAGTTTAAGTGAAAATATGATTCTATATAAACCAAAATTTCTATATTTAAGTACTATAAATTAACAATTCTAGTTGAAGAAATAAAGATTTTTCTTAGAGTAGCTTTCTTGTTGCAAAAAAGGTTATTTGATTTGGAAGAAAAGAATTGTAGAAAGACAACTCGTAAAATTTCTTCTATAACTTGTTTTCTTCAAATCTAGAAATTTTTTGTAAGAAACATTGTTATTTCTTCAGCTAAAAAATAAAAATTATTTAAAATTTTAATGTTTTCATAAGATTTAATTGTAAACTAAAAAAAAATTAATTTAAAAAAATAGGCATTGTTGTGACAAGAAATTAATTTGTTTAAAATTTTTATTTCTTCGCTTTGGATCAAAATTAACAAATTGTCAATCTAAAATTGTTTTTTTCCAAATCAAAAAAAAATTTTTTAACAAGAAAATTATTGTGAGAAAAATTTTTATTTCTTCAGCTAAAAATATAATTTTCAACAAATTAATTTCTTGTTACAATGCCCAATTTTTTAATAATAAATTTCTTCTCTCAGTGTACTTGTTTTGTTGTTCATTGAAATTTTTTAACCGCTTAAAATTTTATTAATACATCAACTTCTTACAATTGAAAACTCGATTAAAATGTTCATTGAAAAATAACAAAATTTTTTTATTTTTTTTGTGACCTTAGAACTAGGGTAAATGCACCAATTATTGACCGATTAAGGTTTTCTTTTTCTGTACTAAGCTATAAAAAATCTATTAACCTACTAAAAACAATTTGTAATGGATTTTATTAAAGTTAAATACTTAATTAATAATAATTAATAACTATTTATAATAAAAATTAACAAAATTATATTAATTTTGTTATTTGAATGTTGAAATACTAAAATCACCAATTATTGACCGAACAAACCCAATAAATGACCGACCGTTCTCCAATTAATTCACCGCTCAAATAATTATATAAGTAATTTTGTAAACTACATGTATATAATTAAATATATGCAGTACTTTTGAAGTATTAACGACATCTTTAACAAAACTAAACACACAATATAATTTTAAATCGTACTTTTTCATAAAATAATATAAATAATAGCAATAATTAACAAAAAGTCACATTTCTTTAGGTCACAAATAAATAATCACAAATTTATTTTGATGACGATAGTTCTTCTGATTCACTTGAAATTTTTTTATTCTTCTCTTTCTTTTTTTCAATTAAAGCTTTTTTATTAGCTTGTAACTCTTTTTTATTTTTTTTAATTGCTTAGCAATTTTTTCTTTTAATAATTCGTTCTTTGATATAACCATTCACTAAAAAAATTATAACAAAATAAAATTTAATAATCAAAAAAGATTTCAAGTATTATTTTAATTATAAATATACATTTTATAATGATTATTTTTATATTTACAAAATATTGAATGACTAAAGTACTTTAAACACTTGACAGATTTAATTTTGGAGTTAAGAAGTTAGTATTATAATTATACGGTCATTAATTGGATTGTGATAAAATCAGAGGGTCTAATAAATGACTGAATGAATTTTTTACTGGGTAAAGGGCTTCTGACGGATCCAATAGTTGACCGGTATTAAAATAATATTAAAACTTATAATTTATCTTTATTTTTTCAAAAAAGTTGGAATCTGATCTTTAATTAATAACATGATAAAACTAAAATATTTTATTTTATGCCGATAAATATCACTAAATTAATGATGAAATGCACTGACTCTCCAATTGTACGCTAGTTATTTTTGACCGCTTTATGGCTGGTTGTGTTGTAAACAAACTCAGAATATTTTTTTAAAGCTATAATCACTGCGCAATTAATTACGTAATTTTTTATTATGATGATTAAATGCCATATTTTTTTATTTTAATACTTTAAGAAAAAAAAAACCCTTGTAAAATATTAATTAATTAACTTTTTTATACATCGGTCAACTAATTGGTGACCGGTCAACAACTGATGCATTTACCCTAGATGATTAATAAACTAAAAAATTATTTCTTTCCTTAATTTACCCAAGTGCTTGATTTTTTTTTGAAGATTAAAAAAAATTGTTTTAAAAATAAATTTATTTCCTAAAATTGAAAAAAATAAAATTTAATTAAAAATGATACTGACTTATTAATAATTTCAGACAAGAAAGAGATTTACAAAAACGTACAGACCAATTCGGTGTAGAGTTACGTGAACGAGTAAAATGGGATATCCGGGAGGGTGTTGTGGGTTCAGACTCGTTTGATCCAAAACATGCAGTGATCGTAACATGGAAAAACATGTCTTTTGCCGGCGGTATTGATAACTCTCTCTCTAAAACCAATACGTTTCAATTAGTACTAGCCACTGATGAAGTTTACACATACGCTATGTTTAACTACTTGGATTTATCCTGGACGACACACACAGAAGCCGGCGGAGATACAACTGGTGGTGAGGGTGGGACACCCGCCTTCGTAAGTTTATCATAGATTAATTCATTTTAAAATTTAATGCTCAAAAAAACTACTGTAATTATTATTTCAGATTGGTTTTAACGCTGGAAATGGTACACAAGCTTACGAGTACAAGCCGTATTCTCAGATGTCTACTTTGAGAGATTTAACAAGCCGTGGGTGGGCTAATGGCTTTAAAGGTCGTCACATTTTTCGTATTGATGAAAAAATTATGCTTGGTACTTGTAATAAAGATATAGGTACGTTTATGTTATTAAAATTAATGCAATTAAGATACAGATTTATTAATGTAAGTTTTTGTGAAGAAATTTTAGCTTCAATTAATTTATTTTTTTTTTTAATTAATTTCAATTAATTAATCTTCAATCAAGAAGAAAATTAGAAAAAAAATTTTTTTCACTAAAAATTGAGAAAAAATATCTTTTAAAAAAAATTAACAATTTTGTGATAAAAAAATTAATTTGTTAAAAATTTTATTTCTTCGCTGAAGAAATAAGAAATTTTTTTACAGTAATTTTTATTTTGATTTGGAAAAAAAATAATTTTAAAAAGACAATTTGTGAATTTTTATGCAAAATTCTAGAAAACTTTATTAGCAAGAGTTAGTGTGAAAAAAATTTTTATTTCTTCATCTAAGAAATAGAATTTTTAACAAATTAATTTATTACAACACTGCTAATTTTTTTCAGCAAAAAATTTTTTTTTTGTGGAATCAAAAATTTTATTTTTTAATTTCTTCTTAATTGAAGATAAAATTTCTTCACAAAAATTTACTTAAATAAGCTTGGACACTGAGAGAAAATTTCTTTTGAAAAAACAAGCAATTTTGTTATAAGAAATTAATTTGTTTAAAATTTTATTTTTTAGTGGAAGAAATAAAAATTTTTCTCAGGAATTTTTTTGTTGAAAAAAATTTTTTTTAATTTCGAAAAAAAATTTTCGCAAGTTGTCTCCTTAAAATTATGATTTTTTAAATCAAATAAACTTTTTTGCAACAAAAAAGTTACTCTAAGAAAAATATTTATTTCTTTAACTAAAAAATAAAATTGTTTAAAATTTAAAACAAATTAATTTATTACTTTAAAATTGTTCATTTTTTTCAAAAAAATTTTTGCTATTGTAACTTTCTTCTTAAACGATGAAAAATCTCACAAAAAATTACTTCAATATCTGCACACTAAGGAAAAAAAATTTTTTTTGAAAAAAATGAGCAATATTGTGATATAAAATAAATTTTTTTTAATTTTAAACAATTTTATTTCTTAGCTGAAGAAATTAAAATTTTTCTCACAGTAATTTTTTTATTAAAAATAAATTTTTTTTTATTTGAAAAACACCAATTTTGGATGAAAATTCGCAAATTGCTTATTTAAAATTGTTTTTTTCCAAAAACATTTTTTTCAACAAAAAATTAACTGAGAAAATTTTTTATTTCTTCAGCTAAAAAATAACACAGTTTAAAGTTTTCATCAAATTAATTATCTCAAAATTTCTCATTTTTTTCAAAAGAAAATTTTTTCCCTCAATACAGTAATTTTTTTCTGTTCAAAATCTTGGAGATAAAAATTAAAAAAATGAACTTAACAATAAAAAATGGAATTATTTCTTCTTTTAGCTGGTCCACACTTACCATTAGTTTTTGCTCCTGAAAGTGGAAATATGCTTGGTGGTACTGTTGTAAACATAACAGGCCCTTGTTTTGAAAAAACCGACAAAGTTCGTTGTCTATTTGATACAGTAGACGTCATGGGTACTGTTATCGATATAAATCGTGCCATATGTGTTCAGCCTTTTGTCAAAGCTGAAGGATATATTAGGTTTGCCGTAGCCGTTAATAGTGGAACATTTGATTGGAAAGGAAAATATTTCATAGGTGAATTTTTAGAAATATTTTTTATATAATTATTGTTTTTTTTATCTAACACAAGACGAGAAACTTTAATTTAAAAAGGAAGTAAGATGTTTTGATTCAAGTGTAAAATACTTTCTTTAGTTAAAGGAAAAGGTAGAAAACACGCTAATTGGAGTATCGTACTTTTTTTCGGTGGTTTGTATATAACACTCAGTAGAATAATATAAAGCGCATAATATTTTTTATTAAAAAAAAAGTATTAAAAATTATTGAAAAAAATTTAGGAATTTTTTTTTTCTTTAATTTTTTACCCGAGTTTGTTGCCATAGATTTAATGCACTTGTTAAATTACACTATCTGTTTTTTTTACATAAAAAAAAGTACAGTAACTTTTTTCCCGCAAAACTTTAACAGGCAGAAATTTTAACTGTGCCAATAAAAAAGCAAATAATTATTCTCTGTAAACAAACGATTTTTAATTTTGTTTAAAGAAACACCTGCAACAGCAACAGAGAAAATATTTTTTCAAACCCGGGCTGTGCACGAACGTGATCCTCGAGAAATTAAAATAACATGGAACGCTTACAATTTGACAAGTAATTTAAATGCTGAAGTACAAATATCTATTTGGGGATATCGTGAGACAACAATCCGCTCGGAATTTGAATACATTGATACTCTTGAGGTTTGTTAATAATCTTTTAATTTTTAACTAAAGTAAAAGCCCCCATTATTGACACTATAAGAGTGATCATGAATATTTGAATTTTTTTATTGTGTTTTAAATCAATATTGTCAACTTTTTTTTTATAGGAAACCTTAATCATTGCTTTTACTTATCTAATTTAATTAATCCACAGATTCGGTAGAATCTGGCGCCAAGTTCCGTTCAAATCCGTTGTCAACGGAGCGCCAGACTACCGACTGTGTTTACTGTAAGCAGAACGGTATTTTGAGGTTGCAAAATTTTATTTAATTCTACGGTACTTTTTTTCCTAAATTGT